TTAACTTTCTTTGTGGTTACCTTGAAATTTACACTTATCTTCCTAGGTTTGAACCAGTCTATTATTACTTGGTATCGCCTTGCCTTCCTCTCCATTAGAAGATCTATTCCAACACTGTTTATTCCTTTTTTTATTGTTCTGATGTTGTTGACATTTACAGATTAACCTCTCTGGTTCACTGTTGTAATTCTTTTGGTTTTGCATAGTCCTTGAGAGTTCATTTCCTAGGATGGTATCTGGCTGGTATGATCCTGTGTCATAGATTCATCCTGTGGTCTGATGTTGTTTGTTCTCAGACCGAGAGACTCCCTTTATTAATTCTTGTAAGTTTGGTTTGGTTTTTACGTAGTCCCTTAACTTCTGTTTATCTGGAAATATCTTAATTTCACGATCATATTTGAATGAGAGTTTTCCAGGATATATTTTTCTTGGCTGCAATTATTTTATTTCAAGGTTTTATATATGTCATCCCATTGCCTTCTTGCCTGCATGGTTTCTGCTGAATAATCTGAGCTTAGTGTTATTGTTTCTCCTCTGTATGTGACTTTTCATTTTTCTCAAGCTGCTCTCAGGATTCTTTGTTTGTCTTTGGTTTTAGCGAGTGTGATTATGATATGCCTTGGTGATTTTCTTTCAGAGTCTATCCTATGTGGGGTTCGTTGAGCTTCTTGGATGGTCAGCTTTTTGTCTTTCATGATATTGGGGAAGTTTTCTGTCAGCAATTCTTCAATGATCCTTTCTGTGTTTTCTGTTTTCCCCTCCTGTTCTGGAACTCTGATCACACGCAGATTTTTGCTTTTGATTGTATCCCACATAATTCTCAGGGTTTTTCATCATTTTTCTTTGTTCTTTTTTCTGATTTTTCATCAGAGTTGTATCCAAGTGTTTGTCTTCAATTTCGGTGATCCTGCCTTCCATCATTTCAAACCTGGTCCTCGGCCCTTCTCTGACACTGTCCATTTCTGAAATCTTATTGTTTATCTTTTGGATTTTCTAATTTTTGTTTTTGTATGATTTCTAGTTATGAATTTATTTTGGCAGTTTGTTCCTGTATTATTTTCCTGAATTCTTCCATTTTTTTGTCTGTACTTTTCATGAATTTGTCTGCCTTTTCCATGAATTTGTCTATTTTTTCCTCATTTTTTGTCTGGTTTTTGCTTCAAATCTTGGATCGCTCTGAAATTAGAGATCTGAATTCCCTATCAGGTAGTTCTAGCATCTTTTCTTCTATTGGTAGTCATCTGAAGTTTTATTTTGGATGCCTACTGTAACCATCCTGTCCTGTTTTTTCATATGTTTTGATGTTGTCTGCTGTCTTCAGGACATTCAGTAGTTATTTTCCTATTTATTGATTGTTGATTTTTTTGTTTTGTCCTGCTTATTTGTTTTATTTGGTTATGTCTGAGCAGGAAGGCTGCGTGTTCTTTGTTATTTGCTTGTCTGTGGGCACAATACTTTTCACCTCCTTGTCCAAAGGGCAGGGTCAGTCACTCAGCTATGGTGTAGCAGTGCAGGTCCAGCTGAAGGGGAGTTGCTGGGATGGGTTGTTTGTGGCATGTACTAGGGCTGACAGGGTAGTCCGGGAATCAGTGCAGGGCAGGTTCTGGCAAGTTGTGCCTGGGCTGCTCTAGGTGTGATGTTCAGTGCATGTTGCAGGTAGGCAGGAAGGAGAGATTGTAACATCTGGAGCTAAGATGGCTACGGGAAAGAGGAGAGAGAGGAGAAAGAAACAGGGGCCAAAAAGAAACAAATACACAAACAAACCAAAAACAGTGCTAAGGGAGCTTGCCATTGGAGTGGAGAGATGAGAGACTGAGAAATGGAGAAAAAGAAAAAAAAAAGAAAAATGGTAAAAGGAAAAAAAAAAATAAAAAATTAGGAAAAGAAAAGTCACCAGTGATCCCACCAGTGTGGCTGTGAAGACTGGGGAAGTTGTTCCCATCCTGTGAAGTACAGCTGGCTAGAAGGGGTAGAGGTGTCACACAGCACTAGGTATTCAGGAGACAGGAAGATAAGGTAAGTATAGAGAGATGAGAAACTAAGAAATGAAGGAAGACAAAAAGGGAAAAAGAAAAGGAAAAAAAGCAACAACAACAAAAACAAAACAAAACAAAGGAAATGCTCCCAGGGATGCCACCGCTCGCCTGTGCAGACTGAGGAAGCAGCTCCCAAGCCACGCAGTACAGCCCAGCTAGAAGGGGCTCCCAATCCAAGAAAAGAAAACAAACAAATCAAAAACAGAACAAATCAAAGCAAACAAACAAAGAAACAAAAAGCCCTGGGGATCCCACCAGCATGGCAGCATGGGCCGGGAAGCAGTTCCACAGTCGAGCAGCATTTCACATGCTTTCAGGTAGAAGCAAAGATGGCATATGGAGCCAGACATTTGACAGAAAGGTGGGGGAGGTGGTGAGAGGTATGGAAGAAACCAAAAGAAGCAGAAAAAAGCCACACCAGCAACAAATATATGGCACTCAGGGAGCCTGCCTTTGTGGGCAGGTGGAATTCAAGTGGCACAGGACTGAAACTGGTGCCTCCTGGCCAAAGGCCTGTGGCTGCAGGAAGCAGCAGAGGCCAAGTGGGGGTGAAGAAGCGTGGGGAATGTGAAAGCATGTATCGCTGCTTACCGGTTGTTCTGTCTCCCGCTGAGAGCTCCATAAAGCTGCTTTCCCATACACCCTGTACGCTGATCTCCAACAGGAGTCCAAGATGGCGAATCCATGCTGCATTAGCTGATAGGGGACCTCTGCACGTATCTCTCCTCACTCTCTATTCTACGTCAATTTCTTATTCCATTCGGTACTTGGCTGAGTTCTTTATCTCTTCATTTGATGCTTAGGGTTTCAGGATTGATGTTTGTCTCTGTTTGGCTTAGTTTTTTGGGTCTTTGCTGTGGAGGGATGGCGTGGTGCTTCTGTCTATAGCACCATGTTGCCCGCAAGTCAATAATAATGTTTTGATGTGCATCGCAGAGTAGCTCCCATTTGTTGGTACAAACCATTGTATGTACCTTGAATTTTTAACAAAATAGACTTTACGGGGGTTGGTTTGTAACTACAGGTTGTAAGTTTAAGTTGGATGTTTGTAACCATGGAGATGATAGAAAGACAGTACAGTACATACACAAGCCAGTAATGTAGGTGTTTATTATGACTATCAAGACATATATAAGTTATATATGTACTGTACCAGTATATACCTGGCAGCACAGTTTCTTATACAAGAGACATGAGATACATGTGTTGAGTGTAGGAAGCTGTTGTGTTCACTACATCAGGTTACGTTTGCTACATCCCATTCTCTGATCAGGATTTCTAAACTCTATTATAAACTTATGGGATCATGGACATATATGCAGTTGGGCATTGACCGAATGGATGTTATGCAGCGCATGACTATATTCTTTTTGACGGTATTGTAAGTGAAATTGTTTTCTTCATTTCATTTTTAGATTGTTCATTGTTAGTGTATAGAAATGCAATTGATTTTTACATATCGTTTTTGTATCCTGCCTATTTGCTGAACTAACTTATTAGTGCTAATAGTTTTATGTGTGTGTGTGTGTGTGTGTGTGTGTGTGTGTGGGGTGGTTACTTAAGATTTTTCACATACAAAGTCATGTCATTTGCAAATAGAGACAGTTTTACTTCTTCCTTTCAGTCTGGATGCCTCTTATTTCTTTTTCTTGCCTAACTGTCCTGGCTAGAACCTCTAGTACAATGTTGAATAGAAACGGCAAGAGGTTTTGTGACACTTCTAATTTATGTTATGTGTGTGTTGTGGTATGTGTCTGTGTATGTGCTGTAAAAATGTATTTCTTAGCTGTAGGTCATGGTAAAATAAGTTTGAAAAAATGTCCTAGACAAAATTTTGCATGTGTGCTACAGGGTTGCTATGAATTGGAATTCACTCGACAGCAATGGGTGCACCAGGAAGAATGTATAAGTATGTTTATATCAGGAATGCTTTTAATAGCAAAACAAAACAAAACAAACTAGAAACAACCCAAATATCTAACAAACAACAGGGGAACAAGCAAATTATGATATATTTACACAAGGGAATGCCATTCAGAAGTGAAAATGAATTAATCATGGTCACATGGATGAATGTCAGAAACAAAATATTAAACAAAAAAGCAAGTTGCAGAAGAGTATGTATGTCATGTTATTTATATAAAGTTTAAAAGCATGTAACGTTAAAAATAGATTGATTAAGTCTATGTATCGGGAAAAATGGAAAAGAAATGCAAGGGAATGAAAATGCAAACTTCAGGACGGTAGTTACTTCTGTAGGGGTTTAGGAGGCAGAGGAAGGAGAATTAGGAGGGGCATACAGGAGGCTTCAAAGGTACTAGTCATGTTTCTTAAGGTGGGTGGTGTGTACACTGAAGTTCATTTTATTATTATTATTGTTTTTCACGTTATATATTTTTTGTGTATTGTAAGTAAGCAATAATTAATAAAATCAAAGGAAAAATAAATACATATACTTCTTTCTTAGATTGCTGTCTCCTCAAGGATCAGCCAAGAAAAAGCCCAGGCAAGATTCTTGTGCTGTGTGCAGTTATGGAGAAGAGCTATGACAAATAAGACTTTTTCCATCACATCTGCTCCATGATCCCAAACAACTCACCCTCTCCCACTCCTCCCACAGTCCACCATCTCCAGCTCCTGTTGCTTTGAGGTAAGGATATTTGTGTGGGTTAACTAGTACTTGTTCCATTTGCTTCTTTAGAGAGCTGTTCCTTCCCATCTAGTGAACACTTCACTTGGTTTTATGTGCATTTTAATTTAGCACGTGCTAGGCATCACCCTCTAATTTCCAGCACAGAAACAAGTTTTTCCTATTTTTAAAATATGTGTTTGGAATTTCAAGGGAAGTTAAATGGCTGAATTCAAGCCACCATCTCTACTTAGAAATCCTTCTAAGATCATAGTTTAGAGATTATTATTACTACTGTAGAATGGTCGTCCCAAACAATGCTATTGCCAACTCACCCGTCATTACAAGAATAATTAACAGTTGATCCAAACTCGATGCCTGTGTTTACATGCACGATACCATTAACTGGATCTGGAGGAGGTCTACATGATTTACCTATGGGAAAGAAACATAATTTTGGTACTGGGTGTAGAACACTCCGAACTTTTGTTGATATGGAAGGTACCAACCTGACTGTAGCTTCCTAGAGTATTTGTAGTTCTGATGTTTCCACAGAATTTACCACCTTGAGACACTTACCAGACTGCCTCAGGACTAGTCACCTAATAAGCACGACTTTCAAAAAGACTGCCTGTCCAGATCTGTCTAATCCCCACATTGAGCCTCCTAGAAAAATCTAAAGTTCATTTATTACCCAACTGTTATACTCTCATTCAACTAGTATAATTCAAAAGTCTCAAAACCTGGGATTTTCTCCCCACTTAGTTTTCAATAAGCTTTTCTTGACTGTCCTGAGTCAATATACAATATACTTTCAATGTCTTGAGTCCTTCGTTAGTTAGTTTCAGTCATTAAAATGGGAGACCCCTAGTGAATGGGGATCTTCCCTCAATCAGGCCTTGTGATGGCCATTTCTCATGAAATGAACTTGTAATGAAGGTGCTGGGGACTCGAAGCCAAAAGAAGATATGATCTACAAGGATAACTTCCACACCCATTATACATTGGGGAAACTTGTTAAGTCATATGTGTCTTAGTTCCAAAATTTGAACAAATTGAATAAAATCTAATAGATGTTTGATTGACATAGAGGAGTACCCAGTCCAGAGTTACTCACGTTTACATAAGTTTTCTAGGCTTGACCAGATCGAGTTTTCTAAGCAGATGATAGGGGGCAACAGCTTCCTGTAGTATCCAGGGCGGCATTCATACTTCAGAGATGTCCCAATGGGAAACTCGGACTCATCAGTCAGGTTTACAGGCTTGGCAAATAGAAAGAATTCTGGGGCCTTGCATTGACCTGGAGACCAAGACCACAGCAACACCAAAGTTAACAGAGAGACTTCTCCTCCACTTCCTGTTTCTCTCCAATATACTTCATGGATGTGATCAAAGAAGAAAAAGAAAACTTTAATAATGGCAAAAGGATTGCTTTTATTTTATCAGCAACCACCTATAAAAAATGCTCCTGCTATTTTGAAGGTTATTAAGCTATATCTGGTCTTTCATAGCTTCAAATTTTAGTTAATCAGGAAGTGCCTGTGGTCAGGTTTCATCTGTCCCTTCCTTATTTATCATTCTCTAGTGTATCAAGGGAGTCCCTGGGTAGTGCAAACAGGTAATGTGCTTGGCTGCCAAATGAAAGGTTGGAGGTTCAGATCCACCCAGAGGCATCTCGGAAGAAAGGCCTGGCAATCTATGCCCCAAAAAATCAGCCATCAAAAACCCTATGGAGTACAGTTCTATTCTTATACACATAGGGTCATCATGAGTTGAAGTCAACTCAATGGCAACTGGTTCAGCATATCAAGATATACTCCTGCACTTCGCTGTCCATTTCACTCTCAGTGGTCTACCCACACCTAATGGGTTCATGAGAGGACTCTAAACCTTTTCCCTGGCCCTCACCACTGTTTTAAGTCTGTTGTCAGTCAGTCATTTCAACACAAGGAGAAAATAAAATCCCAACAACTAAAGCTGCACTTCCCTTTATCTTTATGAAAGCACATATTTTTGGATTCATATTTTGAATTAAATACTAGACTCAGCTATTTTCCCTCAAAGCCCAGGAGGTTTAGGTTAAACTAATAAAAATATCATTTGTAGTCAAGAATACGTAATCAAGAAGAAATATATGTTGGAAAAACATCATCATTTTACTTTGGGATTCCCTTCTCTTCTGGTTTTTCTACCATTGTTCCTCTCCACAGCTCACATTAAATTAGTTCAAATTATGGAGGGTCGATCGAGGACAGAGATGATCAATTTTGTTAGTCTTCAAAGAACCAATTCTTGGCTTTGTTGATGCCACCATTACCACTATCCTTTTCCAAGGCTTCAGAAGACAGGCTTGGTGATCTTCTGAAAGGTCACAGCCTTGAAAACCCTATGGAACACAGTACTACTCTGCACACATAGGGTTGCCATGAGTTGGAATCAACTTGATGGCAACTAACAACAACAGCATGCTTATTTTAGAAAATAAGACAAGCTGGAATTTAAAAAAAATATAAGAATCATCTCAAGAAGCTTACAGTAAAGAGAAATGTAGTTCTGATACATGACATAATATGGATGAACCTGAAAACATTATGCTGAGTGAAATAAGTCAACCGCAAAAGGACAAATACTGTTATGATCTCACTTATATGAAATAAGCAAATAGATAGACATCAAAGATTATTATTATTTTAAAATTTTTTTTTAAATTGTACTTTAGACGAAGGTTTACAGAACAAATGGTTTCTAATTAAACAGTACACATATTGTTTTATGACAATGGTTAACAACCGCACGACATGTCAACACTCTCCCTTCTTGACCTTGGGTTCCCTATTACCAGCTTTCCTGTCCCCTCCTGCCTTCTAATCCTTGTCCCTGGGCTGTTGTGCCCCATTAGTCTCATTTTGTTTTATGGGTCTGTCTAATCTTTGAAGGGTGAACCTTGGGAGTGACTTCATTACTGAGCTAAAAGTGTGTCCGGGGGCCATACTCTTGGGCTTTCTCCAGTTTCTGTCAGGCCAGTAAGTCTGGTCTTTTTTTGTGAGTTAGAATTTTGTTCTACATTTTTCTCCAGCTCTGTCTGGGACCCTTTGCTGT